GTTGCTACTTACATTGATGAGTGTCTGTCATTTATTTATTTAGATTTTTTTTTTATTATTATTGAAAAAAATGAAGAAAAAAATTATTCTCCCACTCGTTTGAAGGAATGAAATTACTGTAATATGATGGAAATTCAGAATTGTTCAAGCTCTTCATAGTATGGAAGCCCGTTTCCACCACTAAATAAAAAAAATTTAAAATAGGTTATTGCGACTTTTTATCTCACAATTCGGACTTTTTTTCACAGAATTGCAAGATATAAAGTCACAATTGCGAGATATAAGCGAGATAAAAACGAGATAAAAACTCGCAATTCTGACTTTTTTTCTCGCAATTGCGAGTTTTTATCTCGCAATTCTGACTTTATATCTCGCAATTCTGACTTTATATCTCGCAATTCTGACTTTATATCTCAGAATTACGACTTTATGTCTCGCAATTGCGAGTTTATATCACGCAATAGACTGATATGTTCTCAGAATTGCGAGTTTATATCTCACAATTATAATTTTTTAACTCGCAATTGCGAGTTTGTATCATGCAATTATGAGAAAAAAAATCTGAATTGTGAGATAAAAAGTCGCAATTACCTTTTTTATTTTTTATTCAGTGGCGGAAACGGGCTTCCATATCGTAGAGATGCAAGTTGCCAAAATCTGAATTCCAAAATAGTGTGTTTATATTATGAGCACATAATCATGAAGTCTGGTTTAAGATGCATCTGTTCAACCATTTAGAAAAGTAGGCACTGCGTGATTTAAGAAAAAAAATTTAAAAACAAATAAACAAAAAAAAATTAACTATTTTTGACTAAAATACCAGGTAACTCAATAGAGGGGCATTATATGTTGATATTTTTACACATTTTATCACTCATAGTCAAACATCTTCATGAAGAAAATGGATTGACAGTATATCTCTGGTTTCAAATCGCATGTTTTCAATTAGCTAGTCCTAAATATCATGTCAGATTCTACATAATTCAAATACTTAATATCATTTAACGTTCACAAGAGTGTAGAGGTTTCTGAGTGATGCCCAAATCCATGAAAACACATGTGAGTCCTCATCCAACTCCTGAACTGTGAAGCCAGCGAATGAATCGTAAACAGCTGAATGAATATCATGAATGTGTAGAGTAGATTTAATATGTAGGTTATGAGTCAAACTTAACTTCTCTCGATTGAATGTCTTTTTGGTCAGGAATTCATACTCTCCTCGCTTCTTTTTGGATGTTTAAAGACTCTCTGGAATCTGCACTTCAATTGAGCGCACCCCTGTCTGCCTAGTTCATACTTTACATTTTAGCTCTTTTCTTAGTACTGATTTTAATGAATTTTTCTAAGCAAGGCTGGTTTTAACAAGCACTTTAACTCTTGGGTCAAACAGGCATTTTTATCAGATGCTTTTAAATACAAAAGCAAAGAACATTCAAGCATTGTTAGAAGAACTTGCCGGTTTTGAACGTGGATTATTCTGTTTTCACTGCGAACACAAACCAAGTGAGATGGACTTGACTGGCCTTTCACAGGGAATCAATCTGCTTTGATAACGCTGTGTAAAAACATGCAGCAGTGTCTTATTTCAATATACTACCAGGTGGCGCACCGTGTAATCTTACCTATCTCCTCACTATCTCATTTACTCAAACCCTTGAGTAAAAAGCCTGTTTGATGCATAGGATTGCTGGGGATGCAATGGGAGTATGGAGAAGTCATGTCACATACTACTGTACTTAGCAAGCGCTGTAGGTGAAGAAATTGACCCACACTGTTAAAATCATCTTGGAAAAATGGTCAAAATATGAACAATGCATACTGTCCTTGGCCCACTGTTACATTGCAAACAAACGTATCATTTCAAAAACCATAGATAATGTGGTTTCTCTAAAAAAAAAAAAAAGTGTATAGTATTTCCAAAAAATAAATAAATGACATTGATATGTCAGAAAATTCATTTTGAACATGGGTTTGAAAATAGATGGTGCTTGTTTCATTTGGATATGAGTTGTATATTGCTTCTGTTATGTTTATTAAAACTATTGTGCATGACTCGTGTTTAGAGGTCATAATGGTGTCCATTTGTGAAATGTGTATCTTAAATTAAAAAGAAAAAAAAAAAATGAATTTGTAGATGCACTTATTGTACATGTGGTTAGGTTAGTAGGTTTGACTTTAAGTCCTGTTACTGCCTTAAATACTATGGGCAGATGGTTATTGAACTGAACAATATGCTTGTGGGAGAGAAATAATGGCAAAATTTAAGGATTGTAGAATAATACTGAAAATTCTGAAGTTCTTTTTGATGCTTGTGATTACTGAAGATGTACTTTAGAGCAATTTCATGGAAAAGACATGATTCTGATGTTAATTCTGTAGAATAGATATGTATACCAAATGTAATCTTTCCAATGCTATGAAGAATTTATACATGAAATTGATATGCAATAAAAACCTGTGTGCTTTTTATATGAATGCTGTTTTTCTTATTCATTGGGTTAATGTACTGTAGATGTTTGTGTCAATGAGTATGCAAGGTGTTTTATGTAAACATGCCAGTAATATGCATGCTAATAAGCAACTAGTTAATAGTGAGAATTGGCCCTTAAAATAAAGTGTTACCAAAAAATTACAACGCTGATTTACAATATCTGCATATGAGTTTAGCTCTTAATAATAATGCCCTTAATAATATATTTTATATCAAGCATCATCATCCTGTATTTCTCTTCATTTAAGGGAAATAAATGAAAATGGGTCCCAGCTGTCATCTAAGTTTTGCAGAATATATAAAATGTTTATTAATATAAAATTTAAAAGAATAAGCCATACTCAAATTTATAAAAAATAAATAAATACCCGGATGGCCTAATACTTCATGCAGCCACAGTCACTTCATTCATTTCTGAATGAATCAGCTGTTTTTAGTTGACAATAACACAAAAATGTTTAATTGCTAG